TGGGCTCCCTGTGATGGTAACTGTTCACTTGATGTGTTGTAAGTTTTGTCACCAGTATTCATATATGACGATGTGAGTGAGGCCATGCAAGATGCCATCCAACTGCAGCTGTTCTTCAGCTCTCGTACCAAATAATTCTCAAAGTCTGAATGGCATCATTAATTTCAATGAAATAATGTATTGGTTGACCACGAATAGTTGACCGTAATAGTATCAATAATCGTGAAGACATAAGCTTCGAATAAGCATGGAAGGCCGGTACTAGCGGAATAAGTATACCCACAGGGGGTTGTTGTGTATCCAGTTATAATATCCTGCCAAGCTTGTTGATTTCCGTAGGTCTGTGTACGCCGACAATGTACCGTCTTTATAATACGTTGATTGCAGTCGTATCAATTGCTTTTTGAGATCGATGTTCCATTGGTAATAGTTGGCGGATGACTGTCTACTAAATAAAATAAACATAGAAATCATTATTCTAAAATGTGTATCAGTAAGAATTGTGAGTAGTGAAAATCGCATGTGACCACAGCAGGTGTTTCGCCTTCCGAGGTCAGTTCGGGGTTAGTTCATGTAATATCGAATAGAAGAAATATAATTACACTATGTTACAAATGTTTGTGGTAATTTATGCATAAATTCCGAGTTCACCACTTTGCAAGAAAATACGCAGGATAAAATCTGGATTCCCGGTTTTTGAACTACTCTTTAGCTATTGTTTGGTTTGAGTGCGTTATTGTGATAGAAAAAATACAAAAATGAACATTTTTAGTGGAAAAGAATATGTTGTTAAGAGCAATTGTGAAAATAATCCCACTTATCGAGATAAAACTTTAGTGTTGATCGGAATACCCCGTACATAGTCAAATGCCATCGCCATTGTAAAATATTAGTTGGGCCTCAAACCTTAATCTAATCCTTAATGCAGTATGAGTTTAATATTAATATTATATGATCCGTGTATTGACGTTCAACGCAGAGGACGCATGCGTGATTGATACTGTTGCGAAAAGAGCACAGAGAACAGGAAACGGAAACGATCTGAAGAGTAATATATTTACAAAAGTTTCTCGACAATCTCAATTTAAAAATACAAAAATAACTGTTTAGCTGTTTTTAGAAAAGACAAAACATTATATTTGAAATTACCAGTATTCAATCAAGGTATATCGTTAAATTATTTACCATATTATTAAAGTAAAACATTTTGATCGAAACTATTGTAAATTTGTCGTTAAAGTTATCATTCTTCAGGGAAGTCAATATCATACAGACAACGCATTAAGTGTGTTTGAGTACATCAACAGTCTTGTCGGATTATCTGTCCCAATAAAACAATGATATTAATTACTTACGTTTTTTAATAAAGTGTGTTTAAATACTACCAGAGGTACATTACGCATACTACTGTATGGTAACATCATGTCAAGATCCATTTCAAGTCTCATCTCGTAGATAGCGAGACTGATGATACGACCTTCTGACATGACATAGGCAGTTTGTAATAAAACAATAAAACATGTATTACCACATTCATAGTGAAAAAATGTATTTCATCAAAAATGTACAGAAAATATAGTTATCGTAATCCGTCATATCGTGAGCAGCTATTTTGATACACCTGGACATTCCAGTATCCTAGTTACCTCGGGCATGCGCATTCGCATTTTTCTGAGTTGAAACGCTTATGTAAGAGCGAGATTGAAACGGGATCTTGGTATCATGTCACCGTAGTTACAAACCCCAAGTAATGTACCTCCGGTACTACTGCTAACATTCAAGCCCTTGCTTATAGTTAGTGATCTCATTGTTTTGCATACATCCTCATCTGTACAGAAATTCTGCAATGCAGTTGAAAAGGCATTCGCGCTTTCTTTTCAGTTTGCGAAGAGATTGTTATCACTTCACCGATCCCTTTCTGGTTGTTTAAGAAAATAATTTCTTCCCCTAATGTAGCATCTCTGCTTCTATTGCTGATTTGAACTTTACAAATATTTGTGTAACCGACTAAATACTAAATTCAGATGTAAACAGACGACTTCTTTTCATGGTGAAATGAGAAGCTGGAATAATTCGTGTTTTTGACTAAATACTTTATTCACATTGTCCACACTCCTTAATCTTTTTCGTTGTGAAACACTTCTTTTTAATTTTCACGACACTTTTTGTTCTCACAAAGTCTACGAGTTCACCTCTCGGTTTTCAAATTGATAAGCCCCTAGACAAACCGTTTGTGCATGCGCAGACGATTTAATGATATAATAATTCTGAAAGCTGACTGAATATTCAGTTTTTGTACCACGTGACATCATTCTAACCATAAAGGTTTTTTTTAGCAGTAATGAGCTGTGGTAGTACTTGCATTGAGGCATTGACTACTCCCTGCATCTATATATATTTATTTGCTGGAGATCTTATAATCAAACACATGAAAGGTAAAACCACATCCACACTCCATCCTGCGTAACAAGGATCGCTCGCCACCCTACGGTAACCACTGTTACTAAGGACTGATAGTATGACGGTAGAGAATGCCACACTCCGGACCCCGCTTACCCATTCACACGTACACACATCCATCCATTCATTAGAAAGTCTCTTCTATTACAGAAACTGCACGTGTATTGAACGCGAGAAAGGTTTTAATAAGTAATTTGCTCCCAAACTTTCATTAATTGGAAGAGTCACTTTTATCAGCATCCTACTTTTGTTATGTTCTGTATTTGGTGACCCATTCTTTTGAGTAATTCGACACCGACTCCGGTCGAGTAAGGCATTAAGAGAAAGGTACTTCGCAAACTGTATATACCATTCATTGTGACAGTCATAATTTACAAAGAATATCCTACATTAAAGCTGTCCCATTTTACTGGAATAGAATAGGATGAGTTGCCTCGCGAGTATTACGCGTTCAGCGTATTCCAAGCTTACTATTCCTCCTCCATTTTGAATTTAATTTTACGTATTTCCGCTGGGTAAGTATCAATATATAAACTAACAAAGCTCGAGTTGCAATCATTCACTCGCCGTTTACACACCAATGGTTGGTGGGTGACTGAATATGGCATTTTGCAAGTCGAAACTGGTCAATTATGTATTTGCATACCCACAAGGTTTATATACACTGGAGTAGATCTGAACGTCCAAATGAACAAGTAGTGATTCTAAGGCAAATCTAGATACAAAAAAGTGAGTGAATGCGTCATAACTGTCTCACAGGACGGAGTGTTCTCTATAGTAAGTGTTAGTATTCACCAAATGTGGTCAGTCAAACCTTTTATTACAAGGTCAAAAATATTAAAAAAAGCAGTTATTAATTAAAGATGCCTGTTGTAGAAGAATACAAATGTATACAGTGAGTTTAATAGTCACATATATGTAGAATAAACGTAATGCGAAATTTGATGTATTATAGCGCCATCTATAGACAATGTTGGCGAATACTTTCCCCACAGACGATTCACAGTCCAGTTATCGTGGTACT